CGTATGTACCAGCTCCATGACAATTAGGGCTGGTATAGTAGGTCTGATGAAGCCCACAATTGTGTGGGCCCTGCCAGAATCCGTGCTGACGGATGATTTCCACACGTTCATCAACCGGTCACAGCAGACACGGCGGCTGGACCGGGTCATGATCAACAAATGCCATGTGGTGCTGAATGAATAATGAGATTTCTGGCCTGGAATTGCCGCGGTTGGGGCGGCTCAACCATGCACACACACAGATGGTGTTGTTGACAGCTACATTGTTCTAGTGGATTGAGCACGTGCCCCAGGGCAAGGTGATCATTCACGCCAGTATAGTCCTCCAGGTTGAGATTGCCCGGGTCTTGTAATGCGTGGCGTATTACAACCAGCCGATTGACAAACTGTCAATATAATGCAGCGATTTGCACAGGGCCAGACATGGATAATCACAGTCACCAGTGCATCGGGAATGGGGTTAGACTAGATTACGCACAGGAAAATGGCTGTACCGGACAGGACAGTCCGGCAAGTAAGGCGATTATCATTTAGCCAGAGGGCCAGCATATTATGATGACCTGTATGTGACATGGTTAGGCAGGCCTACTTCCCACAACAATCCGTTTTGTATAATAGTGTTTTCCCTCCCATAGTTGAAAATAGTTGGAAATGCTATCATATCTAGCTATCTGTCAGGACCTAGGTCAAACCCTGCCTGAGGCACCAAGTCCGCCCTATTCACTGTTAACCTGATCCTACAATACAATATCCCACAGTCCTTGTATGATAGAATTCTTTCTTTCTTTTTCTCTTCCTTCTCTACATTTGATGTTTTGTGCACGTTCGATATCAATGTGAATAGGATCATCACACTATCTATAAATAAGCTGTCATTATATCTATCGGCAAACGATCCAGCTATCCAAAGTTTTTCACTGGTCACCTGCACAATATATTTTATATGCCACCCACGCCATATCATATATATGCAGAGGCAATAGATATGCAGCTTTAGCATACAGAAAGTATAATAACAGAATATCAGAGTATTAATAATCTAATAAATAAACCTATCAAAAAAGGCATATATACAAGTCAAGAATGGAGATCCTCAGAACCACTGTTTCTTTGACCTTTCTGAAGATAGTCAAGGATTATGTTTATGTTGTGTCTACAGTAATTATTGTTTTGAACCAAGCTGTTTGCAAGGGGGTCAAGTAGGTGAAGGAGTTTAATAATATCCTGAGAAGAGTTGGCAATGGAGTTGCTAACCTGTCCAAGACATTGAACAGTGACAGCTGTGTCCTTACTGAAAGAGCATTATTAACAAGCAATATTCAAGAGTAAGATAGAGGAAGAATCAACATACACCATACTTTCTAGTTTATGTGAGCAAAGAAACAGTATTCCAGAACCCAAGTGTTGTGTAAGTAATGTCCATCGTTTTCCAAACCGTTTCCGGTTGTGAAACAGGGCACGTAGCTTTGATCTCTGTTGTTCATCACTTGAGGCCCAATCATGGTGGATCTCTTCAAGTAAATTATCGATTATTAGGGATGCATAACCCCTTCCTCTTCTGGTAAGGCTTTGTTCATGACCTGCCTGAATGATATTTTGGTATTCAGTATGGAGTTGAACTAGAGCCGCACGGTTGCGGATAGAGTCATCATCCATCTGTGGTTCGAGTTGACAAATGCAGGAGTATACATTGCTCAACCTATCATACCCAGTGTGCTGTGGATTTAGTGCCACTATATTATTTTGGTGCCACAACCCTGTATGATGCCACCTGCCAAGATTTGATGTGAGATACTCAGCATAGTCTCTTCTGACATATATATCCCATGCAGATACTCCCATGAATTTGTTAGATACTGGCCTGATTATGGGTGAGAGAGCAATGCCATTAGTCGTTACATCACTCATTGGGGTGGAATTCTGCCTTGTTGGACTCCTATTCAAGTGATCAGATTCGGTGAACACTGTTGCTGAAGTGCCATTGCTTTGTTCATATGGAGAGGTGTGATGACTAGACAGTA